GGATGGAGGGAATAATCAAATTTGTGGATGATACAAAACTGGAAAGGGTAGTTAACACATTGGTAGATAGGAGCAGAATTCAAAAGGACAATAAACTAGAAAACTGGGCTTAAATTAATAAATATTTTATTATTTATTTATTTATAAATAATCATTAATAAAATGAAATTTAGCAGAGGCAAATGAAAATTCAATATTTAGGCCACAAAAACCAAATGCACAGGTATAGGATGGAGATACTTAGCTCAGCAAGTACTGCATATGAAAAGAACCTTGGGATTATTGTTGTTCATAAATTGAACATGAGCCAGCAGTGTGACACTGCAGCAAAATATGCCAATGCTATCTTAGCCTTCATTAATAGAAGCATAGTTTCCAAACTGAGGGAAGTAAGGATCCCCTCCATTCTGCATTGGCCTGGCCTCATCTGGAGCGCTGTGTTTCGTTCTGGGTGCCTCATTTTAAAAAGGATATAGACAAATTGGATTGAGTTAAGGGAAGGACAATGAGGATGAAAGGAGGTATGGTGAACAAAACATATGAGAAGAGTTTGAAGGAGCTGGTTGAGAGGTGACATGACTGCACCCTTGAAATGCTTCAAGGGCTGCCACAGAGTGGAAGGTGCTTTGTTATTCTCTGCTGCATCAGAGGGTAGAACTAGGACTAAGGGTCTGAAGTTACAGGGAAGTAGATGATTAAATGTTAGATCAAACATTAAAAGGAAATTCTTGACAGTAAGAGCGGGTTGGCAGTGGAACATATTGCCTCTAGAGATGGTGGTGTCTTCCTCTGGATGTTCTCAAAAAGAGGTTGGACAGCTACCTGTAGGGGATGCTTTAGCTGGAGGTCCTGCACTAGGCAGGATGTTGGATCTGATGGCCCACAGGACCCTTTCCAACAGGGTGATTGTATGATTTAATAGTTGTACAGAAGAGGGAATTTAAATAGGTGGATGTAATGCAAGCTGTATCTGCTTGAATTCTCACTCCACAGTTATTAAAGCCCTGCCCACTTCAGCATATGACAACTCTAAATTCCATTATTTCATGGGCAGCCATGAAAGAACTAGGCAAGATCCTAAAGGGTAAAGATATACAACTGAACAATAAGGTTAGAACCGTCCAATCCAT